TATAACATCAAAAGGCTTCACCAAACATATACAGAACATTTTCACTAGTATAAAAACTCTGAATATATAAAATGTGGACACTAATGCAAATCATATGAGAAAGAACTTTAAAGCTCAAAGATACCTCAGGTTACCTTTTGTTATCTTTAGGTTACAAAAATGAACTACAACATAGGATGTGTCTTACGAATAGATTGCACATATCCCTCATCCAGGATTTCTAACAAAATAGAATCTCTGAGAACTATTATTAAAATAAATTATATTCCTTATTTAAAAGGCCACAAAGTAATAGGATAACAGTAAAACCACAAGTAAAGAAACACCAGATTGAAAAGGTAGGGGTCTTTGAAAAAAACAAAAACAGCCAAAACTGTGAACATGTCTAGCATTTAGATATTGAGATTTCACAACCATTGATAGGATTTCAATTATTAACCAGTGAACAGACAAGAGACAGTGTCTGTAATAGACACGTTCCAAGCTTTTATATTTTACAAACAGAAGGTGTGGTTCTTATATTAACTCAGTATGCTGCACAATAATAGAGGCTACAGATAATTCCACAGTCAAAAAATCTGTAACAGCTGTCTATGATTATTTCCTCACTTATGTTTCATCAAATACTAAAAATCAATTTCTATTCCCTGAGTACCAACTGGCTAGGGAATAAGAGAAAGCAGCAACATACAGACAATCCCCTGACATAGAAATGTGATCATTTCTGATTTAATTTAGGCTCCTGGATTCTCTTTATAATAGCTAGTACCAAGGAATGCAAATGCTAGAGTTTACAAAACTGTCTCTTAAAAATTTGTTGACTGAGCCCTGGCTGGTAACTCAGTTGGTTAGGGCGTCATCCTGATACACCAAAGTTGTGGGTTCGACCCCAGGTGAGGGCACATACAAAAATCAGTCATAAGTGGAATAAATCAATGTTTCTCTCTCTCCATTTCTCTCTCTAAAAATAATTTTTTTTAAAAAAATTTAAACTGTAGATTGAAACAAAAATCCAACTTATAATAGGTTTGCCTCCCTCCCTCCCTATAAATTCAATGTGAGATGTTCTTTATTCCTACATTAAAGGATAATGGGAATTACATCTAAATATTTAGAAAATGTTCGCTCACTACATCCATATTTTGAACGTAAGAATCAATGATACTGGCTCCTTATCCATAGAGCCATAGCATTCGTCCCTAGTCTTAGTACTTTTTTACAAGTAATCTGGTTCAAGATTTTTCAGTTACCCATTCAGCACACACAAAAAAGAATACTTTGCTCCCAAACAATACCACGACCTGATTAAGAAAATTAAGGTGCTATAAAAATCAAGGTGCTATTTAGTGCAGCTCAAGGTGACTATGTCCACAGGTTAAAATGAAATTATTCTGATTTTGAACCAGATTCTCTCCAACAACGAATAAGGGAAAAGGGATCTTTATTCTTAACAGGGGACAATAATTTTCCTAAAAGAGTATTTTCCAAATTTGCTTTTACCCATGGGTTAGTAAGTTGAAAAATCATGGTTAAATTAATTCGGGCAAAGAGGGTAAACAAAGTTAAAGGGTTGCCTTTTTTCCACAGGGCATTAAAGCCTTTAACACTCTCATCTACTGTCATCTTCAAGCAGGAGAGTAGCAGGTAACACTTTCCAAACTTGTTCGAATTGAATCGCTCTGCAGAGCATCTCGCAGGATACGATTTGGGAAATGCTATTCTAGAATCCTATGGAGTCCATTTCCATGACATAGCTAAGCCTTTATCTATAACCTAACAATAGAAGCTCTCTGCTAGAATTTTAACTGGAAACAATTGTTCCTACCACAGATCTGCCTACCACAAACCACATCCACAATTAACCAGTATGTAAGACTGAAATGTGGGGATTTAGTACTGATTGTTTCCTTCTCTGTTCATTAGCAACAGAAAGCCTCCTTTGACAATGTTCAGCCCAGTGGTTCTCAACCTTCCTAATGTTGCAACCCTTTAATACAGTTCCTCATGTTGTGGTGACCCCCCATAAAAAAATTATTTTCGTTGCTACTTCATAACTGTAATTTTGCTACTGTTATGAATCGTAATGTAAATATCTGATATGCAGGATGTATTTTCATTGTTACAAATTGAACATAATTAAAGCATAGTGATTAATCACAAAAACAGTATGTAATTATATATGTGTTTTCTGATGGTCTTAGACGACTCCTGTGAAAGGGTCGTTCGACCCCCAAAGGGGTCACGACCCACAGGTTGAGAACCGCTGTTCTGGCCCGTTATCCTGGACTAAGCCTCATGGAATCTTCTCTCCACAAAACAATTCTAGATTCACAGAATAGCTGTGCTTTAAAAACTTAAACATACAAAATCAAAACTGTGACCCTTGGTTCTCCTAAATTCAACAGGTAACTACCAAATTATAGATATTCATGAATACTGGCAAGAATGAGAAAATATTAAATTTTTTTAACTCTCAAAAAATATAATCATCCATATAAAGTAGTTTTGATATGAATAAGTTTCTAATATATGATTTATTAAGACTAACAAAGCTAAAATACCACTAAGTTCCTTCCTGCTGTTTCTCCACCTTCAAAATTATTAGGGATTTTGTCACTGAGGATAAGGAATCAGATTAGTTCCTTATTTCTAAGGTCATCCCATTGATAGTTAGGCACAGGTTATGAGGTGGCCTTGCTTTTCCAAAAAGTGGTATTTACACACTTGGAGAGGCCAAAATTATGCCCTATCTACAATGCACATCAGACTAACACAATAGGAATACTGCTTATCCCTATAAAAATAATCAAAAAAGCACCCTTTTGTGCCACTAGGTGGCAACCTTTCAAGGGCTTACACTTAAAACTTCTTGACTGCAACCCCACCCTCTTTCCCAGCAAGGGTTCCTTTTATTTTGATATTAAGTCAGACTTAAAAAGTTACTTAACAAGATTTTTTAAAAGTTCTACAAAACAATATGATGTAACACTGCACACTCCTGACTCAAAACTGTTTAAAGGTAGACATGCTTGTCTTCCATTGACACGGAAGAAATTTGGTCTAACATTCTCATTTGCTTCTGGTAGGAAGCATTATTTTTGGCAAAGAGAAACCTGTCAAGGCTTAGTCACTTTTTGTTTTCAAGAGCTTAATCTTGTCTAGGGTAAATCAGGTGAATCAGATTGTTAATCACAATATGCTGTAGAAAACAAATAAATACAAATTAGGTAAATTATACATAATTTTAAAATTAAATACTTTTACTAAAGCAAAATATAATTAATAAGCTATTATCGATCCTGCTGTATATAAGTGTGTGTTTTTTTAAGGTTACAAAAAAAAATAAAAACGCAACCTGGACAAAACAAACAGACAAACAAAAACCTGTTTGGGTTTCCTTTAAAAAGCATTGGTGTGTGAATACATACATGTATATATGTAAACAACACATATATTTATACAAGAGGTTTTTTTTTTTTAATGTTTAAGGCTTCCCTGCCCTAAAAAGTTCAACAGTGAGGGTCACAGCCTATCAAGCTCTGGAATTACATAAAAGCCCTTAAGGCCAGAACAGTGTTTTCAAATTGGATTTAAAAGGCTAAACCAATCAGCCACTAAGGATCATACAATAAACAAAGACAATGGTGACCAGGAAAAGTGAGGAAGAGGGTGGCTGCAATGATAAACTTCCCCTGAAGAATTAACATGTGGGATGTAACACACACACACCCTACCACCACACATAATAAGAGATCAAAGATAAAAGTTCTCTTTTAAGGAACTGATTTTCCTTTGTTTCATGTAACTGTCAGTTTTATCATGCTTAGTAAAGTACAAAAATAAATAAAGCCAAAAAGAATTTGAGAAGGGTACGTTTTAAAGGCCTGTTTTAAATGATATAAGTTTATGACAAAAGTTGTTGCAATTCCAGATGTTCCAATATTGAGTAGAACCTTGAAGGCTCTTAAAATAAGTATATTATTCATGGAAATCCTATATAATAAAAGCGTAGTATGCAAATTGTCCCCTTGGCCGGAAGGTCGTGTGCGAGTTTGACCAGGGGGTGGGGCCGGCCGGGGGAAGGGAGGGAGGCCGCGGCCGGCAGCCACTAGGGACCCTACCAGTGCACGAAATTTATGCACTGGGCCTCTAGTCTCAAGATAAAACCTCTAGTTGGTTAAGGTTGTTGTTAAGAAACCAGGAAATCATGGTTACTGTTTCAGTACCACAGCCTTTCTGTTAAATACTAGGCAAAAATTCCTAGAACTTAGTTTCTGAAATTTTAAGATTTCAACATTTAAATACTATCTTACTAATGGTTGTTTTATTTTTCAATCATGTGCAAAAAGAATGGTGCAGCCCTGGCTGGTGTGCTCAGTAGTCAGAGCATCAACCTGCGCAACAGAGAGTTGGGAACTTGATTCCGGATCAAGGGCAGATACTTGGGTTCCCAGATTTTTCCCCACCCCTGGTCAGAGCATGTGCAGGAGGCAATCAATGTGTCTCCCTCACATCTATGTTTCTCTCTTTCCCCTTCTCACTTCCACTCTCTCTAAGGCAGTGATGGCGAACCTTTTGAGCTCGGCGTGTCAGCATTTTGAAAAACCCTAACTTAACTCTGGTGCCGTGTCACATATAGAAATTTTTTGATATTTGCAACCATAGTAAAACAAAGATTTATATTTTTGATATTTATTTTATATATTTAAATGCCATTTAACAAAGAAAAATCAACCAAAAAAATGAGTTCGCATGTCGCCTCTGACACGCGTGTCATAGGTTCGCCATCACTGCTCTAAGGGATCAATGGAAAAAATATCCTCACTCCTTGGATGAGGATTAAAAAAAAAAAGAATTGGGAGCATAAACATAGCTTAAAGTTTGCTGAAATTTTTAGGTAGTAACTGGATTTACCTACACTAAAGAGTAAAGCAAGGAGGTGCTGCCAAACCACCCTCTGACTGAGACTGTTCACCAGTGAAGGTGTATTAATCATCTGTAATGAATTCACAATTTTAATTAACGATCTTCATCAGTGTTCATCTACTAATGATACTGCCTATATGAATTTATCATAGAATTACAGATTTCTACAGATAAATAAAATGTCAGACTTTTGTTTTCATAATTTCAATGGCATTGAGTGTCCCCTGGCAATATTCATGTCTGTCAATCAGCATTTTAGAGTATGTGTACACATAAGTAAAATAATAATTTAAAGAATACATGTGATTTTCACAGTGCAGCAACAGAAAGATATAAACTAGGGAAAAATCATCAACGAGCTAAAGTAGTGATCAGACTGGCACACATTTCAAAAAAATCCATGGTGTGGCTGCCCAGGCGAGGTGTAACTGAGGACAGTGTGCTTCCAGTCAAGGAGCCAGTGAGGGAGCCCGACAGTGAATAGCTCTCGGCAGTCACAGAATCAAAACTTGATCTGGGTCTATGTAAGCCAGCAGTAGAAGAGGAACGCTGAGGTGTTGAAGAACCAGACCTCTGCTCCATCACTTCATCTGAAATGGACCAAAGCAGAGCAATTAATCAGAAAGGTATATTTGCCCCAGCCCTTCTTATGAAGATGCTATCATCAGAGAATTAAGTAAGTAAACACATCTGGGCAAAGGCGACTAAATAATAAATGTCATGTTTCAGTGTTTTAGGAGCAGATGACCTCTTCCCTCCCCAACAAACATAACAGACATCACTAATTAATCACAACACTTCCATACAGTCAAAATGTGACCCCCTACATCCTTCTCAGCAAGGATTCGGCATTAACCTTGAAATCAAACTATATACTTGCATGTGAATAAAGCACATCCTGAAGGATTTTCTTGTGGTGTATCAACAAAAAATCATTAAGATAAAAGTAACTATTACACAGTGGTTCTGAACCTTTGGTACACAATGAAACTGCTTGGGGTGGGGGGTGAGGAAAATCTTTTTTAAAATGAAGATTATACACCATGACCAAGTGGGATTTATTCCAGGGATGCAAGGCAGGTATAATATTTGCAAATCAATAAATGTGATACATCACATAAACAAACTGAAAGACAAAAATCACATGATCATAATCAATAGATGCAGAAAAAGCTATTGACAAAATGCAACACCATTTCTGATAAAAAAAAAACACAACTCTAATCAAAGTGGGAATAGAGGGATCATACCTCAACATAATAAAGGCCATATGACAAACCTACAGCCAACATCATACTTAATGGGCAAAAACTAAATCCATTGCCCCTAAGAACAGGAACAAGATAGGGATGCCCACTTTCACCACTCTTATTCAACATAGTACTGGAAGTGCTAGCCACAGTGATCAGACAAAAAGAAAACATAAAAGGCATCCAAATTGGAAAGGATGACATGATATTGTACATAGAAAACCCTAGAGACTCCACCAAAAAACTACTAGATTTAAAAAAGAAATTCAACAATGTAGCAGGATACAAAATTAACACCAGAAATCAATGGCATTTTTATACACCAATAATGAATTCTCAGAAAGTGAATCTAAACAAACAATCCATTTATCATAGCAACAAAAAATTAAGATGCTTAGGAATAAACTTAACCAAGGAGGTAAAAAACTTATACTCGGAAAACTACAGGATGTTTAAAAAAAGAGATAGAGGAAGATACAAACAATTGGAAGAACATACCATGTTCATGGATTGGCAGAATCAACATTAAAAAAATGTCTGTATTATCCAAAGCAATCAATAGATTCAATGTAATCCCTATTAAATTACCAATGGCATATTTCACAGATCTAAAACAAATACTCCAAAAATTTATATGGAACCAAAAAAGACCCTGAACAGACACAGAAATCTTAAGAAGAACAAAGTTGGAGGGATCACAATACTCAGTATCAAGTTATACTACAAAGCCACTGTATTCAAAACATCCTGGTACTGGTACAAGAACAGACATATAGATCAATGGAACAAAACAGAGACCCCAAAAATCCATCCAAGCCATTGCGCTCAATTAATTTTTGATGAGGCAAGAGCATACAATGGAGTCAAGACAGTCTCTTCAATAAATGGTGTTGGACAGATACATGCAAAAAAATGAAACTAGATCACCAACTTACACCATACACAAGAATAAACTCAAAATGGATAAAAGACTTAAATATAAGACGTGAAACCATAAAAATCCTAGAAGAAACCATAGGCAGCAAAATCTCAGATATCTCTCATAGCAATATGTTTGAGATACATCTCCTAGGCCCTAGGGCAAAGGAAAGTAAGGAGAAAGTAAACAAATGAGACTACATTAAAATAAACAGCTTCTGCACAGCAAAAGAAACCATCAACAAAATGAAAAGGGAGAACATATTTGGCATACATTTAATAAAGTGTTAATATCCAAAATATACAAGGAACTCATACAACTTAACAAAAGGAAGACAAACAATCCAATTAAAAAATGGGCAAAAAGGTAGTAGCATAATTTACAATAGCTATTGCAATTTACAAAAATAGACCCTAAGACAGAAGTACTGAACAGACTGTCAAACCTCAGAAGGAAGGCAGGGGAGGGGTAGGGGGTGGGAAGAGATCAATCATATATGCATAATCCATGGACAGAGACAATAGGGTGGTGAAGGCCTGGGATGGGGGGTGAGGGCAGGGTGGGAGAGGTCAACGGGGGAAAAGAAGGACATAGGTAATACTTTCAACAATAAAGATTAAAAAAATACTATATTGTTTTCTCAAAGCAGTCATCAATATTATATTTTAAAGTAAAGTGCTTCCTAATTTGAAAGACCAAAAATATCCGGTGTTTTATTTCCCATTATTTCATTAGTTTCAAAGATGGTAACACACACACACACACACAAAGGGCAAAGAACCTAAATAGACCTTTCTCCAATGGGAACATACAGATGGCCAAGAGACATATGAAAAAACACAAACCTCGGTGGACCAAATGTGCCCATTGTCTATTAAAATGACAATGACATATCACCTCACACCTGTCAGAATGGCTATCATCAACAAATAAACAAATGACAAGTGCTGGCAAAGATGTGGAGAAGAGGGAATCCTAGTACACTGCTGGTATGAATACAGACTGGTGCAGTCATTATGGAAAAGAGTATGGAGTTTCCTCAAAAAATTAAATATGGAATTGACATTTGACCCAGTGATCCCACTTCTAGGAATATATCCTAAGAAACTGAAACACCAATCAGAAAGAATGTATACACCCCTCTGCTCATAGCAGCACAATTTACAATAACTAAGATCGGGAAATAGCCCAAGTGCCCATCAATAGATAAGTGGATAAAAAAGCTGTGGTACATTTAAACCATGGAATACTATGCAGCAGTAAAAAAGAAGGATATCTTACCCATTGAGACAGCATGGAGGGACCTTGAGAGTATTATGCTAAGCAAACTAAGCCAGTCACAGAAAGACAGTATCACATAATCTCACTCTTATGTGGAATCTAATGAACAAAATAAACTGTTGAATAAAATAGATCTAGAGACGTAGAAGCATAAAACAGACTGTCAAATCTCAGAGGGAGGATGGGGGCTGGTGGAGGGTTGGGAAGTGATCAACCAAAGAACCTGAATGCATATATGCATAACCCATGGACACGGACAATAGGGTGGTGAAGGCCTGGGATAGAGGGTGGAGGGTGGGCTATAAGGGGTCAATGGGATAAAAAAGGAGACATATGTAATACTTTCAACAATAAAGATTTTTAAAAATCTTTTTGAAAATGCAGATTCCCACCCTAGTCAGTTATGCTCAATGAATAGAGCATCGGCCCTCAGACTGAAGGATCCTGGGTTCGATTCCAGTCAAGTGTACCTGGGTTGCAGGCTCAATCCCCAGCCCCTGGAAGCAACCAATTGATGTGTCTCTCTCACATGGATGGGGTTGCAGGCTCAATCCCCAGCCCCAGTCAGGGTGTGTGCAGGAAGCAACCAATGGATGTGTCTCTCTCACATGGATGGTTCTCTGTCTTTTCCCCTCCCTTCCACTCTCTCTAAAAAATAAAATAAGGAAAAATATCCTTGGGTAAGGATTAACAACAACAACAACAAAACAGATTCCTAGTTTCCCATCTCCAGAGATTCTGGATTAGTAGGTCTGGGGGCAGTTCCCAAGAATCTGCATTTTAATAAGAATTCTGGGTAATTTTTATAAAGGTGGTCTAGGGACATATAAACACTGCTATAGATGATGGTATTTCAAAAACAAAATTTAAAAGCTCTGTTTAAATCAACTTCCTGTATCTAAACTCTCCTGTTCCATTCAGTTCCTGACCGTTGTTTTATTTTGTTGTTATACTACTTTGGCCAATGAATGAAATAAGCACATTTGGTCCACCCAGGTTGACTCTTGGCACACAGTGAATATCTGGACAGGACCTCCTTCCCTGGCTCCTTTGGCTCCTGGATGGCCACGGGCACCGAAATCTAACCTAAATCCAAGAGAGGCCTATTTGGTCATTTTGGCCAATCAGGATGAGAGAAGCTAATGAAGGGCAAGTTTAGATATTGTAATACTAACAGTAACAAATTATGAATGAGGGAATGAGATAAAGAACCTGACAACATCAGCTAATTTTAGTTAAAAATTGCTTCCCTGGTTTTTGCTCCACAACCAACACGTCAAATGACTTTTTTATGGCAAGGAAGTACTTCTTTTGGAGAGGTGCTGGGTTAGAGATATTCCATGTGTCTTTGATCTTCTTCATTTCACTTAAATTTTTAGCTAAATCTAGATTACTTAAAAACCAGTATAAAAGACCTACCCACCATGCCTTTGAGATGATTTTAACATCTTGTCAACTAGTGCCAAGTTTTATCTTCTCAGAATTCATGCCTGCATAGCTTCCTTACCATCAATGCTTTTAAAGTCCAAAAGATAACTTCTATTGTCAACCAGGTAAAGCTGTAAACTCATTTTCACATAATTGCCAGTCACTGGGTTTTTTCTTCTTACACGAAGGTGGTATGCGTTCACTACCTAAAACAAGAAATCTTTGTGAAGGAAAAATGTTAAAATTAACAAACTATAAAATATCTCCCTATTCTTATTGCAAAGACTATAAAAATGAATCACTGATAGAAGTGGGATAGAGAAGAAATTCTGGATGATCCCTTTTTATATTACATGGTAATTTAGTATTTTTAATCCTCACTAACAATACTGTTTACAGCAATTAAAATTAAAAGAAACTCAGAGATTATAGAGTCTAGCCTTCATTCTATATATGCCTCACTTTAAAATGATAATTTTGGCTGCCCAGCCTCAACTTGAATACTTTTACCTATAAATATGGAATAGAAGAAATAAAGGGAAACTAATGTGTTACAGGTTTGTATCAGGCATTGTTAACAGGTATTGTCACAAAATTTAAATATCACAAAAAATCCGGTGAAAAATAAATATATTATCTGCCTCTGAAGATAAGAATACTGCAGCTCAGATAAAGAAGATTCAGGGTTTGCAAAAACATCTATCAAATTAGTTACAAAAATTTTTTGGTAAGGAATTTTAAAGATATTAACATCTCTTTTTTTTAACTGACTATTAACTACTTCAGAAAAGAGAGGTCTGAGTTTTAAATGGGTTTAAGGAAATATTTTATCTATGCCTTTCACATACAAAGAATGAAATGAAAATGACTGATATATTCAAACATGTCAAGTGAATATTTACATGGTATGTTTGAATGTTTTTCTTCTACCTTTAAAAATACATTCACAGTCCTCAAAAAAGGAACAAGCGTTAAAGGAATACCTGGAATAAAAAAAAATGCTTTTATTCCCAACAAATAAATAGAACTGAAATGAATTTGAGCGCTTATATTTTTAAAGAGTAAAATGTGGGCTGAGAGTAAGAATATATTTCGTAATTAAGGATTGAAAGCACCAGCCAAGGAAGAGAGGTTTTCTCAACTTAGAGAAAATATTTGTTGACTGAATAAATATATCCTGATGTATACTATGTATTGACCACTAGCTGCTACTGATACTGACAAAGAGAAACTCTGCCTAAAAGGGGAGAGAGAAATGTAAAAACATAGTATCTTTGAAGACATATGACTTTTTATTGCTATAATGCAGTGGTTCTCAACCTTCTGGCCCTTTAAATACAGTTCCTTACGTTGTGACCCAACCATAAAATTATTTTCGTTGCTACTTCATAACTGTAATGTTGCTACTGTTATGAATCGTAATGTAAATATCTGATATGCAGGATGGTCTTAGGCGACCCCTGTGAAAGGGTCGTTCGACCGCCAAAGGGGTCGCGACCCACAGGTTGAGAACCGCTGAGAATAATGAATGCTGAAACAGGTGGACTATTTTCTCAGGTGATTTCAAGTTGATTACTTTTTGTTTCTTTGCCAAAAATACTATTTTGTAATTCAAAAATATGTAGGTCCCCAACATCAACATATTTCTTCCTTACAGAGATTTATTTGTCTTGTTTTGAATGCACATGGTATATTATTGCAAAGAATGGCAGTTATAGCCAGAAGTATCAAGACCACTAAATTTCTATCTAAATAAGAAACAAATCTTTAATTGACCTCAGTACTCAACTCAGCAGTTGAGAGCAGTTTACTATACAAACAAACAAAAAAAAAATGGCTTCTACAAATGATCTTAATATATAATTTCCTACCTTCCATTCAAAATCCAGCTGCTTCATAGCTCGGTAAACTTCAGCCATAATGTCATATGGTTTGCTTTGACTTCGGATTCCAAGATGCCACTTGGCTTTCTTTACAGCCAAAGATTTGGGCTTAGTTGTATTCAGTGCATCCAATGGACATCTTGCTTTAGGGCTGTCTGCTATAAGCGGTGGCATCCTTTCTGGATGAGGTTTCAGGCCTGGAGGAATATGCATGGCACTATCATCCATAAAGGAACCCGTTGGGGGACTAGAGGCGAGGTAGAACTCACTGGCTTGGTTCATTATTCTCCGATTGTCAATAATAAGATGATAGGCCACTGCAAGCTGGTCTTGAGGGTCACCACTATATAGACTGTTCATTACTTCTGATTCCGTACACTCAAATTTTTCACACACTTCTTTCACAGCCTCATCATCAATGACGTTAGCATCATAGGAAGGGTCTTCAGGAAATAAGTAACTGGGCAAATCTTGTTTAAACCATTCATGCTCTCTAGGAAAAAACACCACAATACACTATTGTAAGAACATGCTTTGGCAAGTCCCAAATAATTTAGACATGGGAAACACAATATAACAGAATCAGAAATACCTAGTTACTTACTAGCTATGTGACCCTGGGTGAGTTAAATAACCTTACCCTTGAAAAAACTATGGTTATTCAGACTTGGTATTTGGCTGACATTTTCTCAAAAATAAACAAAATGAACCTGTCACTGTGAAGGAGACAACTGGAAGTATTTGATGTCAATGATAAAATCCAACCTCTCAAGCAAAATTTTAGAATTTTGTGTTTTTGTATCTGTGTGCACGAGTTTGAAAACTTCCCAATACTTAAAGACTTTTCTGATAACTTTGTAGTGATGATGATAATGATAATCTATATACTAAAAGCCTAAGCGACCATTACGGCAGAATGACCAGTCGCTATGATGCACATTGACCACCAGAGGGCAGACACTCAACACAGGAGCTGCCCCCTGGTGGTCAGTGTGCTCCCACAGCGGGGGCACCAGGTAACACGTAGCAATGCCCTGCTTCCTCTCCCTAGCGACTAGCCTCCTTGGAGTTTCTTCAGCCCAGGAACCCGACTTGCTTTATAGCCAGGTGCAAACATTTTACAGTTCAACCAAATGTTTGTGAAGCCTTTTCCCAAAGGCTTCATTTCATCTGATCCTCTCAGAAGTCCTGCAGTAGGTAGATAGGAGACTCGGTAGAATCCTATTTTCTTTTCATTAGCAAGACAATGGAGATTTAGAAAGTTTAGAAACTTGACCTGACTGAAAAGAAGTAATGGTGGACCTTGAAAATGACTTCAGGTTTTCTCACTGTGCAGAATACAGTCAAACACTGCTACAGTTAAATATTTTACCCTTTTTCCCCCGCTGTGTGATCTACAATAATAATCTGTTTCATGTTGATATTTACTGCTGTGTTTCTGACAATTACCTGAAAGAGAAGTTGGGGTGCTTCACTGGGTTGGAAAAAGTTTAGCTAAATCAGAAAGCAGGTCTAATTAAGCAAGTTTATTCATATATATTAAAGGCTAAGTTGACTCACGCATGTGCGATACATATAAAGCTCTCGCTGGTGACAATTGCATGCATGTGTTTTGATCTGTCATTTTTTATCGTGAATTTGGTTGACACTTCAATCATAGAGAAAGGGCAAACAGTGATATTAAAATATTTCTTCTAATTAATTTCCTTTCAATGTGCATGAATCCATGCACTGGGACACTAATAAATACATGGTTACAAATATACAAACATGAAAATCCTGTGATAGAGATTCTGAGTGAAAAACCACAAGGTAAAATGAGGGAATATATTTCAGAACAGGAGGCAGGTGATTAGGGAAGCCACTCTGAGTAATATATAGACATAAATCAGAATGATTAGAAGTCACCTAAGCAAAGAGCTGAGGAATAGGTACTCCCAGCAAAAGAAACAATATGCAAAGACTCTGAGACAAGAAGAGTTTTGCCATGTCCAGGGAACTAAATTAACACCACCATCATGAAAGCATGAGTTATGGGTTGGAGTTGTAAAAGATATCAGAAAGTTATGACAGCTGCAGGATATAAAAAAGGTTAGGGGATTTGAACCTATGGTTAATGAAAATCACTGCAAGCTTTTGCAGAGATGAGTGACAGGATATAATTTGCATTCTGTACATATTACTCTGCTTGTGACATATAAATTGAATTGAAAAGTTAAAAAAATGATGATGGTTGTGGTGATAAGAAATAGTGATGTGCCAGGCCCTGAGGATACAAAGATGTAACCTCTACAGCGTCTAGATCTTTCCATTGTAACACTCATACTTTTCTATAGTTGCTGATTTCTTCTTACTCTTCCCGCTAAACTGGGAGCTCCTTGAAAAAGGGACCATGTCTTATTTAACTACTAGAGGCCGGGCGCATGAATTCGTGCTCGGGTACGGTCCCTAGGCCTGCCCTGTGATCAGGGCCATCTTCCCTGGCTGCCTACAGCCGGCCCCACCCCCCGGCACCACCCACCCCTGGTTCCCTGTTCACCATTAGGCAATCGGAGCCTGCTGGCTGGGGAGAGGGACCAAGAGGTGGTCAGTGCACCTCATAGTGACTGGCCATCTGAGGCTTGCCTGCACCTCGGGCCGGCCCTGGGCAGCTGGGGGGCTGAGGGGACTGGGGGACTCCAGTGGCAGGTGTGCAGAGTGGCCAGGCCCACTTGGGGGTGGGCCCTGCCTTGCCGTGCGCCTGCCACCCTGGTGGGGCTGAGGGGACTGGGTACCACCATCTTGTGGTTGTGGGCGCCGCCATCTTTGAGGGCGTGACAGTCAATTAACATATTCCCTCCTTATTGCCTGTGGGCGCCATCATATTTGAAGGTGGGGCAGTCAATTAGCATATTACCTCATTATTGGCGGTGGGCGCCGCCATCTTTGAGAGTGAGGCAGTCAATTAGCATAGTACCCTTTTATTATATAGGATACAGTACCCAATACACAGTAAATGGTCAATAAATGCAGAATAAATAAATGATGAATAGACACTTGAAGTATGAAGACAAAAATGAATTCATTGTGTTTATTGCTACATCATGATAATAATAAACATCTAATAAGTACTTAGTAATAAAAATGACTGATAGCTTTTTTTTGAAAGAAATAATAGAAGATAAGAAATTATATTACATATCTAAATTGGGTATCAGTTTTATGGTCTGTAAAATAAGATTAATAATAGCTACCTATTAAGGGTCAATGTAATAAAACATGTCAAGCATTAAGCAAAATATCTGGTATGTAGTAACTACTCAAAAATTAGTAATTATTTGCCTGTTGAACTGTATTTTATTGAATCAAGAATTTCCAAACAGGCCCTGGCTAGGTTTCTCAGTTAGTTGTAGCATTCTCCTGATATGTCAAGGTTGTGGGTTCCATCCCCAGTCAGGGCACATACATAGAAGTATCAAAAAATGGCCCTGGCCGATTAGAGTGTCATCTCACTCAATTGGTTAGAGTGTCATCTATACATCAAAAGGTGGCAGGTTTGATTTCTGGTTGGGTGGGTACATGCCCAGGTTGCGGGTTCGATCCCTGGTCAGGGTGCATGCATGTGGGGGTGCAACAGATCGATGTTTCTTTCTCACATTCGTTTCTCTCTTTCTTCTCTCTCTCTATCCTCTCTCTCTCTCTCTCTCTCTCTCTCTCTCTCTCTCTCTCTCTCTCTTTCCCCCTTCCTCTTTCTAAAATCAATAATTTTTAATAAAGGCAAATTTTCAATGTGCTTGTTTGTACTTAAAAAATATCAACCAATAAATGCATTAATAAGTGGAACATATCAATGTTCTCTCTCTCTCTCTTTCTCTCCTTCTCTCTCCCTTAAAAAAAAAAAAGAATTCCTGAACATTAAAAAACTGAATTTGGGTAAATAAGAAAATGATGAAAACTAATTCAAGTTGCTATATTATTTTAAGTACAGAAATGAATGCCACTATTTTATACCACCTACATCCAAGTACATTTTTACTCACATTTTTTTCCTAAAGCCTCTATTTTAAAATAACAGAATCAATACTTTATTCTTCTAAATATGCTGATACAGATACAAGTGTGTGTGTGTGTGTGTGTGTGTGTGTGTATCTCAGCATCTCTAATTTTCTTTCTAAGGAAAAACCAATTAATTGAACTATATATTCTAAAGAATTATGAACCCAAAAAGTTTTTTCCCCGCTAAGTTTATTTCCATATCTAAATCTGGTCTGATTTACAGTTTTTCATGTTTATGCATGAGGCCTGGAACACTGAGGAAAGGCTGGGAAAGAAAACAATACAGGAATACAAAAGAATCAGTCCTTGCTTTCAGGGAAACAACCACCTGAGCCATCATTTAAATGTTCCAAGAGTCATAGGTCTCTAAACAGTCATTCTGGCTCATGAAGAGGAGAAGGATTCTGGAAAGATGTCAAAAGAACGTGTTCTTAAGAAAATACCTGAAAAAATGTTAGGTGAGAACAAAACACCTCTAAGACACGTGGCATGATGGGTAAAAGTAGGAGGCAATGAGTCATCCTGGCTGGTGTGCACTATATACCAGTAAAGGTCCCATTCGCAGTAACACCAGCAACCGTACTTTCCAAAGTTTCTCACACAAGAAATCCTTCATAGCAAGCCACTAGCAGCTATTTTGTAATTCAAAATCTTAGCAAAACTTTTATTCTTTATTTCATCAACCACATGTAAAATACATGTCTCACCCTGTTTTTCTATTAGAAATGTATTCAAATACTTTCTTAGCATATATTATATCCCAGGCATTCTAGCATATACAAAGATGAGGAAGACACTCTCTCTACCCTTATTTAGTTACAATTAAGAGAGAGAAAGATACACTGAAAAAAAGCTCCATACAAAATGAGAAAGAAATAATAAAAGCATGAACAAAATGAGGAAAGCACAGAAGTGGAAGCAACTCACATTGCCTAGAGAAATCAGAAGTGGTTTCAAGGGAGGTCATATGTGAGCAACATTTTAAAGGATGAACAAAAATCTATCAGGTCAAAAAAGGCAGAAAAGGCATCAGAGGCAAAAGGGGTCATATAAACAAAGATATGAAAGCAGAAAATATATTTGGGAAACAAGGAGACATTCAATGTGGCTGAAGCACTGGTATAAGGGGCATAGTAGTGAGTGCAGAAAATGAGACTTGAGAACAGTGGTTCTCAACCTTCTGGCCCTTTAATTACAGTTCCTCATGTTGTGATCCAACCATAAAATTATTTTCGTTGCTAGTTCATAACTGTAATGTTGCTACTGTTATGAATCGTAATGTAAATATCTGATATGCAGGATGGTCTTAGGCGACCCCTGTGAAAGGGTCATTCGACCGCCAAAGGGGTCGCAACCCACAGGTTGAGAACTGCTGCTAGAAGAAGTGAGGAGAGCCTTACTATGAAGGGCCTAGTATGCTTTGCTACCTAAGCTAAAAAGTTTGGGAAACAATCTGAAATATTTAAAAGATGAGTGCCATGATCAGATTTGTGTATTAAGAGAAGTAAAATTTATATAAACTGTTATAGAGCTCAGGATAAAAAAGGCATTCAATTAGTGGTACTAGTGTTCTCAATACTAGAATATGTACATAACAATAACAAAAATAGATTCACCTTATGTCTTTGATAGTTGCTCGTTTCAGGGGATCAACCTGCAGCATATGCATCAGGAGAGTGGCGATAGAGCGATTGAGGTATTCTGGGATATAAAAAACACCCCCTCGGATCTTCTTAAATAACGTAGGCACGTGCTCATCATCAAATGGGAGAGTGCCACAGAGAAGAGCATACAGAATAACACCACAGCTCCAGATGTCAACCTCAGGACCTGCATACAATCTAAGAAAAGAGATGACAGCACAAACCTGAAGTACAAGTGTCGCTTTCTCACCTACAGGTACCCTGCCTCTATAGCCCTACACATAGTATGGACTCCGTAAATATTGCATTCAAGGTCTTTACTGAAGTCCATGGCCGCTCTTCAACACTCAACACCAATGGAAAATAATTAATTGGTCTAACAAATATTCAAGTTTCCCAAAAGAAAATAGTATTTTTTTTTGGCACAAACTCATTTCACTGAACTTATTAATTGACTCTTTAAAAAATATAAAACTTTCTATGGTTGATTTTTTAATAGAAACAACAAAGTAGATGACCACAAACTTGGTGGAAAAAACCCACAATACTATATAATGTATAGGCTAAATCTTTTTACCATGAATCTATTACAAGAAAGAAAATGTGTATGTAACAGAATTTCATTCCTGGCACACCTATTTTAAAGAATATGTGAAACAGTAAAGTGCCTAACTAGTTCTGCGGCAATGTCTCTGACAGTATTTGTCCTGTATCACATTATCTTGAGTACCCAATGACTCTCTTTCTAACCACTTGCTAGCATATGGGACTAAAATTAGCGTTGCTCCAGAAAAACTATGCCTAGAAGGTTTTTTCTCTCACCTGTATACAGTATTAAAATTCCCCTGATAGCACATTACCAAACTCAAACCTGGGTCTGAGGTAACAAAGTAAATCTCTACAATTCCAATTTTAAAAAGGATATAATCTGCCCTAGCTAGTTTGGCTCAGTGGATAGAGTGTCGGCCTGCGGACCAAAGGGTCCCGGGTTCAATTCTGGTCAAGGGCACGTACCTTGGTTGGCTCCTCCCCTGGTCGAGGCACATGCAGGAGGCAACCAATCCGATGTGTTTCTCTCACACTGATATTTCTCTGTCTTTTTCCTCTCTCTTCCACTCTCTCCAAAAAAATCAATGGGAAAATATCCTTGGGTGAGGATTAAAAAAAAAAAAAAAGGATATAATCCGTTTCAATAAAAATTACTATCCATCATTAACATTGTTGGCTGTACTGCCCAAACTCCTATACCTACTATCTTTGTAATATACCTTTTCTAGTTTTTCTCTCATAGAATTCTGTTAACTCTTTCATCAGACATTGGTCTCTGTAGAAGACTTAAGTTTACAACTGCAATCTATATAAACATTTTAAAATGTACCAATGAGAAAATTATGTAATTACAAAATCTTCACTTGTGCACTTGAATTCATAAAATGACATACTGCCCACCCAAAACCTCATTCTTCCAAAAATAAAATATAAAATACTCTATATACTTTAAAAAAGGATATGTAAAGTATCATTAAAGGATCATGTCTGATAAGTAAATAATGACACTTGCTTAAATTTAGCAAATGCTTACTCTATTTGCACTTTTCTAAAGTGAAAAAAGAAATCAACATTTATTTCAGTCATTTTTAATGGAAAACCTTCTTAAATATAATCATAACAAAATTAAATATTTAAACTATTGCTTAATATAACTATTCTGTCTTCAACAATGAAAAAATTAAAGGGACAATTTGTTTCTACTGTGTTAAAAATCTAATCTTGTCAAGAGAATGTATAATTAAGCGTTATCAGAATAAACAAAAGATTATAAAAAGCTTACTCTTTGCTGATATATCATTACCTGCCTGAGATTACTTCAGGTGCTGCATAATTTGGAGATCCACAACTAGTTCGCAGAAATTCACCATCTGACATCATATTAGATAATCCTGAAAGTAAGAGTAATGTTTACCTGGTGCTAGATATTTCTAAAAGTAGAGATAGGTGCATGAGGAAAATGTCAAGTCTTTAATGTTCATACATCATATTTTTTAAGTTATTATAAAAAGGAGTGGAAAGCATTTGTTAGACTAGAAAGAGACCATTTCAGAGTGCTGTTACACTATGACAAAAAAAGCTAAAACATATCACACGTGTGATTGGAATGAAATTCCTTTTGTAAATATTGATTCACTTCACAAATATGAGGTTATTCTAAAACTATATGAACTTTTCCAAACATAAAACTACCATAATATTGTTTACCCACTTCTACAGTTGAAAGAATAAAATAGAGACTATACTTTCAAAAGCCTTTTTAAAAAAAATCTCTAGGTAGAAATCAGACAGGCTCCAGTTTAATAAAGATTATGTTCCAAAAGTTTTTAATCTGGAAAGCTTTAAATTAAAAATAGAAAATATAATCAATTGAACCAAACATCTAGTTGAACTATAGTACTAAATGAATTCTGTGATTTAGAGAAGGAAGGGAAATAGTGAGACTAGTTTCCTGGTTTTTAGATTAAAGACAAGCTACTGACAAAATTTTTAAAACAAGCAGTGCTGACCTCTGGCACCCTGCCATCTCTCTTTCTATAATCTCTTACTTCCTAATCCTTTTCCCAAAACATCCTGCACTTTAGCTTTTCCTTGCTCCTGACAAAAACTCCTCTTGTTTTGTCAAGTGGGAGATGTTACCGAGGCCCACGGGCACCGCCTCCTTGATTCACAGGACTATAAAGCTCCAGAACTGCATGCAAACTTCCATGTGCCTCCGGGTAAGTGCATTCATCAGAGTGTCCCTATTTTCAAAGGAGCTTGTGATCCCCCCCTACACACACACACACACACACACACACACATAAAAACACTTCAGATTCCTTAGGAAGAAATGCAGATTGAATGGGTTTATCTTGATCCTACCCCTCTAACGTCTCTAAAAGTATTTGCTGCACACAGACACCAGGGGGGTAGGGGGGGAGGGAATGGGGGGATAAGGACACATAGGTAATACCTTAATCAATAAAGAAAAATTTTTAAATAAAATAAATAATTTTAAAAAATTTAAAAGTATCTGCTGCATTTTTTACATTTATTTATTTTAGTTATTGAATTTATTGGGGTGACACTGGTTAATAAAATTATATAGGTTTTAGGTATACAATTCTATAAGTCATCGGTATATTGTATTGTGTGTTCACCACTCCAAGTCAAATGTCCTTCTTTCACTATTTGTCCCCTCTTTACACTCTTCTACCTCCCCCCACTCTTCTTTCCTTCTGGTAATCACCATATTGTTGTCTGTGTCTATGAGAATGTGTTGTTTTTTTCTGCATTTTTTAAAAGCATCTATAATAATAAAAGTGTAATATGCTAATTAGACCAGACAGCCAAACGACCTTTCAGACATCATTCCAGACGGTCTTCTGGATGAAGCCACGGAGGCAGGGGCAGAGGCAGAGGTGGTTAGGGGACAATCAGGCGGGCAGGAGAGCAGTTAGGGGCAATCAGGCAGGCAGGTGAGTGGTTAGGGGTGATCAGGCAGGCAGGAGAGCAGTTAGGGGTGATCAGGCAGGCAGGCGAGCGGTTAGGAGCCAGCAGTCCCGGATTGCGAGAGTGATGTCCGACTGTCAATTTAGGCACTGGCTCGATCCTGCAGGAATCCCTGTGGAATTGAGCCTAAATTGGCAGTCTGACATTACCCGAGGGGTCCCAGATTGCGAGAGGGTGCAGGCCGGGTTAAGCCCCCGCCCTCCTGCACGAGTTTCGTGCACCGGGCCTCTAGTGTTTAAATAAACAGACCAAGCAAGCTACTGTGGAGGCTGTACAACTAATCCCTTTTCACAGCACAGGGCTTTACAATGTTGAAACTGAAAGCTCCTAGTTCTTTAAGAATTGTTACCGACATTTCTAAACAACCCTGGAGTCACATACCAAAATCAGCTATCTTGGCATTCATGTGTGCATCCAACAGCACATTCTCTGGTTTCAGGTCTCGGTGCACAACCATATGCCTATGACAGTAATCCACCGCAGACAGGATCTGCTGAAAGAGCCGCCTGGCTTCCATCTCTTCAACCTATCAATGTTAAAGAAGCTGCACTAAAAATATTCCGGACATCTACATAGCAAGAGTTTCAGTTTCATACTCAGCCTAAATATAACTGAGGTAAGCTCATTAGGTTCTGCTAGAATATTCAACAAATCAGACAAAGAAACCAAAAACTTGCATTAACGCTCAACATGTCAATCAACAGGTTTTTCTTTGCTGCTAGGCAATAATATTTCATTTTCAAGTAATACTACTAAATGTGTACAAGTTCTGGGGAGTCAGCAAGTAAAACAATCTAAAACCGAACTTATGTGAAAGTGCTAAGGAAGAAAATTACTGACACTTCAACATGACGTATGGAAGAGATTTTTCATTTTGAAAAGCATAGGCATCATGTTGGCAATTAAATGGTACTTATTTCCTAAAACCAGTATTTCAAAAGGTGTACTTTTTAAGAAAGAAGATATGTCTAATAGTCTCTATGTTTAGTTGAGCATTATTACAGAAGCAACCCAACTTTAAAAAATATCTTTGTGGTTTCCTATTTCCCACTATTTCCCTCTTTTCTAACTTAGGAATTTATTGTACTACATAGTGTTACTCACCCGTCCATGTTTACAGATGTAGTCAAATAATTCACCACCAGACACATATTCCATTACCATAAAAAAATCTGTTGGAGTGCTGATCACCTGGTATCTTTTTGTAAATAAAAAAAAAAAGTTAAATAAAAATATTACTTTAACCAAAATCAACCTGTACATCTATTCTTGCTATAATTTTATATTCCAATGTTTTATAATATTTTAAGATGGCAACAGGTTTATAATGTTATCAAAATAATCAGAGAACTATAAACATAGAGCTTAACAAAATTCAACTAACTTTCAAGGCTTAAGGACTTACCTCCAGTCCTCCCTTTCATGTTTACAAAATCTTTAAAATCCTTCAATCTGCAATAGCTGAGTTAAGCATTAATTTTTCCACTTAAACAAAAACGTGTTTATAGTCTATGGAGATCAGGTATCATAAGTAAAAAGTATTCTTGGAAAGGTTAAATGACACCACAGGAATAAAATCAACAAAATCCAGAAAATGGACAAGTGACCCTTTATTCAACATTAAAAGAGAAAGGGAAAGTTATAGATTAAAAATAACTCAAGAGACATATTGACCAATTACACTGTATACACTTCTTTTGATTCTGATTCAAACAAACCAACTTTAAAAGTCATTTATGAAACCATCAATAAAGTCTGAACACTAGCTGGATGGCTGATGATATTACCTTGTAGGTATTATAATAAACTGTATTTAAGTTATAAAAGTAAAAAAAGGCTTTATTTCCCAGAGTAAATAAATACTAAAGAATTTGAAGGTTAAGAACATAATATTTGGGATTTGCTCAAAATAATTGAGGGTGGGAGAAGTTGGGAGAAGCAGATAAAACACTACACTGACAACTGTTGAAGCTGAATAAGAGATACATGAGGCTTTGACACTTTACTTTGTATACATTTAAAATTTTCCATAATAAAAATTTAAATAGATGTATGTATTTATGCATGAAATTTAATTAATTATTTATTTATTTATTGGCACTCAAAGCTGAGCACATTTTAAAAAATAATAAAAACCTTAGCTCTATTTGACAAAATAAAATTTTTCCTGAAAACTACAACTTCCCCCCACCCCACGCACAATTTTACAAAAGTGAAAACATGTAAAATATAACATTGACGTTTTAACTGACGGTTACATTTAACACCAATAAAAGAAACAATTGTTCTGCTTTTTAAAGAGGTTTGCTTTGTTTATGAAGGATTATCTACAATCTGGTTAATCGTGAGCAACATCTAATTTACACTGAGTTACTATTTAAGGGCACTAAGTATAGATGTATAGTTTTTGCAAGGCTTAAAGGCACCCAGTGGAAAGCACAAGTAGGAGCTGAAAAGAGGCCCAGATGCCACCCTTTAAGCAGGATACCTTGACATGGGATATGGCAGAAGCAGGGGAACCTTCTGGTAATTAGTCCACCTGGATGGAGCACCTTTTATTAAAGTGGTTCTGATTACTATTCCCTGTTAAAGAGGAAGGGGAAATGGCCAGGAAATTGATGATCTAACTGCATACTATACATTTTAAGAGAGGACACTTGGAAAAAGTAAAATATTAAAGCTATAGTATTGAAAATGACAGGTTTTCACAATAAATCTTTCATCTTTGGGATAAGAAATTACAAAGTATCCCACTTTATATAAAATAAACTAGTATGACTGTGCAATGATGTTGAGACTATTTCAAATGAGCTATGGAAAGGAAATTTTACCGAGAATTCTCAAAGCCATCCTATACCAGTAAAAGCCAACTTATGAGAGGCATCCTAGCAAGCACCAAACTCTAACTGAATAAAACAAATAGTATAGAGCAGGAGCACCTACTATGTCACTTTGCTGTAAGCTAATCTGATTTATTAACAGAATTCTCAATCACTGTTCTGCTCTGTACATCTTTGGGGCATAAAAGAAAAGAAGGCATACAACTCTAATAAATTTAACTGCTAATTCCTCCAAGTATATCACAAGATCTTTAATAGCTACTTTTGGATTTAACTACTTCATGAAACTTCTAACTCTACAGCAGCCACTATCCACACCAAAGGCCAATCTAGAGCAACAGAAACCACAGCTATCATTACTGAGCACTTACTGTGTGTGCCAGACTAATGGCCACACTTAATGTTTACTGAGTACCTACCATAGGTTGAATAAAATAAAGACTAAAAGAAGCAGACAGGCAAAAGCATCTCTACTAAATTAGAAAGTATTGATCTTTCGATCAGTTAAAATAAAGTTTCTCTAAGAACTATGGAGAAAAGAAAAACACAGACAAAAATTAATCCAACAAATTCTAGTTCATGGAAAAGTTTGAAGTTTCCTTTCAATCCTGTTTACTCCTCTGAATTTTCTCCAAGTGATTATTTCTCCCACCCCCAAATTGAGTTAATGGAGAAAGCATGGAATAAATATCCTTCATTCTTGGTATTTAGTTTTCAAACTTTCTTCCCAATTCTAGAGGCCCATTCTGTAACAAGGAAACTATTCTTGGCAGCTAGTTCAAAACTCCACAAAACAAACAAAACTAAAAGGATCAGGTCTCTCTCCTTGTTTACATCACTAACATTATTAGAGGTTAAGTTAATAACTTGTTCTGTAGCAAGAATACATGAGAGTGCTTTTTTCTTTTTAAATTCAGATCCATAATTAAGAGGCAATGTAGCTGAATGGATTAATAAGCTCAAGGCAGGAAGCCAGAAGCTTTAAACTTCAAATTCACCTCTGCCAGCCCTGAGAACATTCTATAACTCCTGCAACAAAACAAAATACCAAACAATTAAATAACTCTACACCAGAATGAGATAGTCAAACCAATATTAAATACTTACAAATAATTACAGAAACTGAGGTAAGAAAACACTGGTAAATATGACAGCAAAAATAAATCCTCAGGACCACTGCAACTGCTTACTGACAAAATCTGATTTTATCAGCACAGAAACTAGGACTCATACCCTAAAGAGGGCAAAATTTCCTGGGGGTCTTTCAGGGTTGTTGGCATTCTAAGTCACACGGTCAAGAAACAAGACAAATACAGAGATTGCTTTCCCTTCTCCACTCTCACTCTGGCATGTGATACTTTTGGTCTGGCTTCCTAGCTCTTTCCTCTAATAGAAAGTAGCTACTCAGCAAGGAAGAACGAAGAGCTATCAGTAACTAGAATAAAGTCATTATTAACATGGAGTCAAAAGTACATATGAACTATTTCAGTTAGCTGAAAACTACTCAGAATCATGAAAGAAAACTGGAATCAGCTCAGGTTGCCAACTCCTGCTTTGGGCCAGTGCACACTAAACACTAGGCATTATACCATTTAGTCCTCAAATAACACCATGAGGTATCCCATTTTAAAATTAAGGAAACAAACAGTGGGAGAGGTGAGTCACTGGGCTCACAGGTTGTATTTTAATTCTTAGGATAATCTTTAAAATCCTGTATATACATATTCTGGATCACCTAGAATACAGGTCCCGGAGGATAACCTTATAATCAAGTACTGCCATGCAATTTCAGGGGCCTCATTTCTTGTTTATATTTATGATCGAGTGAACTCCAAGTGAAGATCAAATGACACTGAAGTGGTTGGGAGCTTAGTCAACACCAGTTACCCAATGGCACACCAAACCCAAGAAAAGCCTTCTCTGAACAGTCAGCAGCATGCTCGTGCTGTTGGTGAGATGCACTGAATGGCCCCCATCATTGAATACAGCTCGTGATAGTAAAGACTAAACGCATGTTCTAAATCCCAGCAATAAAAGGGTCAGCCACTGATTTAGGATTTCAAGAACGCTACTGGTTAGTTTCCTATTGTTTCCATACTTCAAACTTAGTGGCTGAAAATAACAAAAATGGATTTTCTTACAATTTTGTAGGTTAGAAGCCTGACATATGTCTCACTGGACTAAAATCAAGGTGTCAGGAGAGCTGCATGCAGTGCCTTCTGGAGGCTCTAGGGAGAAATCCATTACTTTGTATTTTCCAACTTTTAGAAGATCGCCTGCATTCCTTATCTCATGGCCCCCTTCCTCTATCTTCAAAGCCAAAAACAGCCAGTGAGTCCTTCTCACAGCTTATTCCTCTGACCTTATTTCCATCCTAAAATCTCTCTCACTCTTTTGATGCCCTCTCCTACTTTTATTAAATATATTTTTATTGATTTCAGAGAGGAAGGGAGAGGGAGAGAGAGATAGAAACATCAACGATGAGAATCATTGAGTTTGTGTTTTTTAAATGTATTTTTATTGATTTCAGAGAGGAAGAGAGAGGGAGGGAAAGATAGAAATATCAATGAAATGAGAGAGAATCACTGACCGGCTGCCTCCTGCACACTTCACATTGGGGATCGAGCCCACAACCTGGGCATGTGTCCTGACCAGGAATCAAACTGTGACCTCCTGGTTCATAGGTCAGCTCTCAGTCACTGAGCCACACTGGCCAGGCTCCCTCTTCTACTTTTAAGAACCACTGTGATTACACTGGGCCCATCTAGATAAGCCAGGAAAATCTCCCTATTTTAAGGTCAGCTGACTGGCAACCTTTTATCTATGGACAAGTTGCTGATACTCTTTAGATGTGCAATATCCTTATCTATAAAATGAAGATAGTAATACCTTCCTTATAGGCTTAACTTGAAGATGAAGTGAAATTATATACGTAAAATGCTCAATAGAAATTATTCTTACTCAATAAGTGTAATACTTATTTTATAAAACTCTAACCAAGCTTTGAGATGAAAAACAAAGACAATTTTCAGTGTTTAACATATCACATTTTCTCAGTAAATATGAAACTACAACTTCAGGTGATTTAAAGGAATATTTAATGTCTAAATTTTTTATGGGTCTAGTTGATTTTCAATTATTTATATTTCAATTTAATTAATTAGCTTATTTATTCATCTCTAATATATGATTATCTTTTAAGTTTGTAACGTGTCTTATCCCCCCAAAATTCACGTGCTTCTCTGAAGAGCTTTACTATCAGTAATTAAAATAATATTGTTGTTTTGCAAATAATACACTATGGTAGATAACCTTTAACAGTTACTTTCTACCTTTTCCAAAAAGAAAATACCCAGATACATTCATGATAATTGACTAGTAAAAATTACAAAATGAATCTAGGAATATCAAAGTCCTAAAAGAATTTCAAAATGAATACTAGAAATGAGTCAACTTCCAAGGCTACACTCAAATCTTGAAAGCAGTACCAATTTTGAAACAATAACTTCTAATTCTAAACCAAAAGTATGCAAAGTAAACAAAACAAAAAATTAATGGACTTAAATAAATTAATACTTGCTCAATATAAATATGAAAAGAAGTGTTTTTATGAAAGATTAATTAAAGACAACTATTTATAAATTCATAAATAGTATCTCAAGACAGTTTCTCTTTTGTTTTATTGGGTACAAAAATACTTACAGTTTAAAAAGTACTTACAGTTTGATAATATGAGGATGACGAAAGAGTTTTAGATTTTGAATTTCCCGCTTTATTTTTCCAACAACATCTAAACTGCGAATCTTCTGTCTATTTAGGATTTTAACTGCCACTTTATGACCTGTCAACTGATGTTCTCCAACTACAAATGAAGAAAAAAAAACTGCTGATCATACAGTCATACTTCCACTGCAACCCCAAGTTTTACTCAAATATACCACTTTTACATCATGTATGGCATAGAACGGATGTTCTCCCTTTTCACTTCCATCCCTCTACTAGACATGCACTCCTTGAGGACAGAAACTGTACCTGAGTCTCAGCACCTAGCACAGAGATGTTCACCAAATATTTATGGAAAGGATTACTGAATTCTATCTTCCTACATAAAAATATAATCACATTTTGAACACCCTGGATAGAATAGAATTCACTATGTTTTGTTAATCACTTTTTTCTCCTCTTCTGACTGCCAGCCATTGTATTATAGAAGAGTATGTGATTGCTATAAAATGAAATAACTAGCTTCATTACTGTTCCCTCAGAAAATTCATGTGTAGCCCCTTTTTTGGCCTTTTCCATAAAGCCTTTCCCTATTGGAAGAAATCCAACATTCCCCCCCCTTATTTGATGGAAGCTCTACTTCTTTCAAATCCTCATGGTATGTTCATAATATCATGTGTTCTTTATCATTTTTAGGCTATTATAAATATTTCTGTTTTTGACAAATCATATGACATGAGCTATTAGTTCATACTTTCCTTGAATGAGACCGTCAGTATTCATTTGAATCTCCCGGGAAGTATATAGCACAGTGTGTACAGACCCGATGCTAAATAAATATACTGCATTAAATGAAACCATAGTCTTTCCCCTTTCAGATAACACATTCATAGTACCCACACTTCTAGTGATATATTTAAATACTATTCAAGGAAAAGTCCCTCATTTGGGAAACAAATGTTTCAGCCTCCCTCTCCTATTTCCTTCAATTACTATTCTAAGCTTTCACCATTCTCTTCACAACACCCATTCAACTTTTGACCCTTTTCCCCCCTTTCATTTCTTTGGGGGAAAATGTAGTCATGAGAAGTGATGTCCTCTACCTTAAAGGTTTACATATATGCACATCCTGCTTTCCTCTAGTCTCAGAGATGTTTTGGCCCTTCTCCTGATTAAGGCCAGTCTAATCAACCTGTGTCTTTTTTCTTTGCTAATAGTTTCTTCTCAGCCTATCAGTATCCCATCCTTCCCCCAAATCTTCCCTTTACCTTGTATCTTCCTACAGTTTCCAAAATCTGTCTTGTCAAAATTTCTGAAAACAGTAGTCTACCATTTATTATCTTCTCTTCCTCCTTTATCCCCATCCCTAAATTCACTGTCATCTGCCTCTACTCTTCTACAAAAACCAAAGGGTCACAAAACACTCATTAATACTCAAGCCACTTATACTTTTCATTTCTAAGATTAATGTACAGTTGACCCTTGAACAACATGGGTTTGAACTGTGGGGGTCCACTTATAACAGGTTTTTTTTCAATAAATATTATAAACACACTAGAGGCCCGGTGCACAAAATTCATGCCTGGGAGGGGGGGTCCCCTCAGCTCAGCCTGAACCCTCTCCAATCCGGGACCCCTCAGGGGATGTCTGACTGCTGAGGGATGTCTGACTAAACCAGCAGTCAGACATCCCTCTCACAATCCGGGACCACTGGCTCCCAATTGCTCACCTGCTTGCCTGCCTGGTCGCCCCTAACTGCCCCCCCCCTGCAAGCTTGGTCGCCCCAGCCTAGTCGTCCCTCACTGCCACCTCTGCCAGCCTAATTGCCCCCAACTGCCCCCCCTGCCAGCCTGGTTGCCCCCAACTGCACCCCCCCTGCTGGCCTGGTCACCCCCAATTGCACCCTTCTGCCGGCCTGGTCACCCCATGCAGCCAGCTTGTTCAGTCATTTGGTCATCCGTCACTAACCCCCCTGCCAGCCTGGTCTTAGGCAGCCATCTTGTGAGGGCGTGAGGGTTAATTTGCATATTATCTCTTTATTATATAGGGTGTACTTTCTCTTTCTTTTGATTTTCTTAATATTTTCTTTTCTGTTGCTTACTTTACTATAAGAATACAGTATATTATGCATACAATATATATACTCTGTTAAGATACTGTTTATGTTACTGGTAAGGCTTCCAGTCTAACAATAGTTAAGTTTGGGGAAAGTCAAAAATTATGTGTGGATTTTCAACTGTACATGGTTTTGGCATCCCTAACCCTGATGTTGTTCAAGGGTCAACTGTAATCTGTGTTGGATTGATCACTTTTTTTGGTGGTACTGCTCTCTCCTTATTCACCTAACTCTCGGATGGTCTCTTTCATGGCCTCCCCATTATTCTTTAAAGATTAGTGTCCCCAGGTTTCTAACCTAGGCCAAGGTAGATCCTTAAAAGTTATTTCACTCATTTCTCATAGTCCTAATTACCACCCATATGCCAATAGCTCTGCTCCCATCTTCAATTCATACATTTCAAAATTAGCATCCCACAAACACCTTAAATTCCATGTTCAAAACTAAACTTAGCATTATCCTCCCATTCCTCCACTAAGCCTATGTTCTTTATTTCACTTGGTCACACACAGCCGATATGCCAGAAACCAAGTAGTCGGGTAACATTCGCTCCTACACATTTCTTGGAGTCAAGTTTCAAATAATTATGACAAATAATTATGTAAATAATGATATGTGACAATGACATTTATTAAGTGTTTATTATGTACTAAATGTTATTTTAAGTGCTAAATGCCCTACTCACTCAATATACTATTATCCTCCATTAAAAGGGTGAGAAACCTGAGACAAAGAGAAGTTAAATAGATAACTTATCTAAGGTGACATAGTAAACATGTGATCATAGTAAACACAGTGGTAGCAAACATGTGATCTCAAACTGACTTCAGTTCAGAGGCAGCATGTTTCACCATAACATAATAATGCCCCCATCAGAGCAATCCAAGTATGTAAGGGGTTAACCTAGGAAGGAGATTAACCTTCTTGTCACACTGGAGATTATTTTGATGTGTACAACTTTTCAAGCAAAAAATTATTGTCTCAAAATCATTAATGAAGACTGAAAGTTACTTTACCTGCATATAAAACAAACAAATTGGGAAAAATCAAGTTCAAGCAACCTAACTTACTAGCATTACAAAATATGTTCCAGGACTCCAGGAAAACATTGCCAATTTCAGGGACTTTCTACTCTACTCAACTAAGATAACCTAAACTAGAGGCCCGGTGCACGGATTCGTGCACCAGAGGAGTCCCTCGGCCTGGCCTGTGGGGATAGGGCCAAATCCGGCTCTTCAACATCCCCCGAGGGGTCGCAGATTGCGAGAGGGCAGTACTCGGGTGATGCACCCCAGAATCGAGCTCCCTCCTCTCTGGTTCCAGGTGCATCACTTGAGAACCGCAGTTGCCAAGTCACTGCAGCTTGGCAGCTCCTGTGTTGACCGTCTGCCCCCTGGTGGTCAGTGCATGTCATAGCTACCAGTTGGAGCATCTGCCCCCTGATGTTCATTGTGTGTCATAGCTACCGGTCGGATGGTCAGACGGTCACTTAGGCTTTTATATTCATAGATGGTTTTTTGTTGCCTGGGTTGTTTATTCTTAACCTTTGGTAACTTTATAATACCCAAACATTTGTCTGGGTGGCTTAACAAGTATGTCTCTTTCCTCAAATCTTTGATAGCATCAGTAAAAGTAACCAGTGCTGCAATCTCCTCATCTGTACAACAGGGAAGAAGAGTTTAATTATTCCATTCCCATCTGATAATTAAAATTACTATCTATTGAGAATATATGTGGTCTTTCCAGATCAAAGAAGTAAGACCAAGGACTCTAGCAATCAAATGTATAGGTGTTTTGTTTTTTAAGGTCATATGCTTAAACTGAAAAACAAGGAAACCAAAAAGTGAATGACTGCACTCAGAAAATAATAAAATAATAAAGACTTACTTTGTCAACAAATTTGATAAAGTTGCAGGACACAAAGTCAATATACAAAAATCAGTTGCATTTCTAGATGCTAACAATAAACTATCAGAAGAAGAAATTAAGAAAAAATCCCATTCACCACTGCATCAAAAATAAAATACTTAGGAATAAATTTAACCAAGGAAAAGAAAGAGCTATACACTGAAAGTTATAAAACACTGGTAAAAAATGAAAACGACAAATAAATGGAAAGATGTTCCATGTCCATGGATTGAAAAATTCATATTGTGAAAATTTCCATACTACCCAATGGAACCTGCAGATTTAATGCAATCCTTATCAGTGGCATTTTTCACAGAAATAGAAAAAAAAATCGTGAAATTTGTATGGAACCACAAAAGACCCTGAATAGTCAAAGCAATCTTGAGAAAGAAGAACAAAGTTGGAGGAATTTTACTTCCTGATTTCAAACAATATTACAAATATAGTAATCAAAATAGTATGGTATTGCATAAAAATAGCCACATAAATCAATGAAATAGAAACCCCAGAAGTAAACCCATGCATATATAGTATTTAATTTATGACGAAGGAGTAAAAATTATACCATGGGGAAAGGACAGTCTCTTCAACACATTGTGCTGCAAAAACTGGACAGCTACACACAAAAGAATGAAAGTGGAGCCTCATCAAACACATTACACAAAAACCAATTCAAAATGGATTAAAAACTTAAATTTAAGACCCAAAACTTTAAAAGGTCTAGAAGAAAAGAGAGGGGGTAAACCTCTTGACATTAGTCTTAGCAATGTGTTGTTGTTTTTAATTTGATAACAAAAGCAAAGGCAACAAAAGCAAAAATAAACAAGTGGGACTAAATTGAAGAACCACACAGCAAATGAAACCATTAACACAATAAAAAGGCAACCCACCTAATGAATGTGAAAAAGTATCTGCAAATCACATATCTGATAAGGGGCTACGAATTCACACAAGTCAATAGCAAAAAATACAAATTCTATTAAAAAATGGGCAAAGGAACTGAATAAACATTTTTCCTTAGAAGGCATACAAATGGTCTGTTAACATATACTACATGGAAAGGTGCTCAACATCACTAACCATTAGGGAAATGCAAATAAAAACCACAGTGATATTACCTTAGACCTGTTGAAATGGCTA